CTCTCTTCCTTCAGCCTCAGGAGGGCAGCGGGACTGGGAGGGAAGTCGCCGAGCTGCTTTAGCGGGCTGGACCTCTGGACCTTTGGGGAAAAACAGGCGCTCTCCTTACATCAGTCAGTCCTTTCATTGCACGCGCTCCCTCACGGCCACCCCAAGCTCTCCCTGTAGCTCTCACCTAGTCTGCTTTTCGTCCTGCGGTTGTGTGAGGTCACCTGCTGCCTTCATCACTACTAACGGCAGAAAGGACAGAGGTCTTCCTCCCAGCCTCCTTCCATGTGTCCCACGTCTGGTTCTCAGAGTTTGCGACGGGCTTGGAAGGCTGTCCTGGCTCCCAGGGAAAGTCATTTATAGCAATTTAATATTCCAGCAGATTCAGGACAGAAAGTGGGTGGAGGCAGAAGGCAGGAGCCCCGAGAACCGATGTTTGCTCCATAAAGGATCCCCTCCTGGTTCCCAAAGGCAGAGAATCTATAGTCTGGGAGAAAGGAAAGCAGCAGGAGGAATGCTGTGACATTTCTGGGTCATGTGGTGTCCTGCCAGAGCAGAGGGCTGGCCAGCCACGGCGGAGAAGGTGGGCAGGAGGGCCTGAGAGCAGCTGCAGCCCGCTGCCCCGCATACCCAGGCCAAGCCACCCTCACTGCAGAGTTCCCTGCAGCGGGAGGGTCAGGACTGGTGGCTGCCTTGCAGGCCCTGACTAAGGGAAGCCTGGGGCTCCCTCACCCTCCAGGAGGCGGGCTTGGCTTCCAGGGTCCCTTTCCATTCCTTCTGCTTTCAAGGTTTAAGGGTCTCATTATCCCCAGATCTCTAGCAAATAGTGGAATTTGTTCATTTCTGAACTAGCTCACGTGGGAAGAGCAGCAAAGCAATGTCTGGCTTTCCTCGGGACGGAGTGTGATGCCCGTTCTCTGCTCGTGTGACGTGATGTGATCTTGGGTTTCCGTTCCAACAGAGTCATTTTTTTTCTGTTGCCCTCTTGTTCTGAACACACTGAGGAATTTCTGTTGTTTTTCTTGGAGGAAGGCTAAAAATACTATCAGGGTAAGGATGACTCTCCCAGCCAGCTGGAGTTTTTAAACTCTTTTTGGACTATAATATACATACAGAAAAGTGCCTGCTGATAAGTGAACAGCACGATGACTTTTCACGCACTGAACGTGACCGGCACTGGTCCTCCTGCCTCCTTGCTGTCGCCTCCAGCCCCAGAAGCACCCCTCCGTCCTGACACTTCACAGCACAGACTGGCTGCAGCCAGCCAGAGCTCGTCCGCAGCTCACAGGACAGCCTGACTCGCAGCTGCCCTTCAGTTCTGAGTGGGTGAAGCTGCCAAGGCTCGGCAGGATTGATTTGGGACTGAGTTCTGGTGGGGAGGGCCCACTCAGCAATTGCAAACCCAGCACATGCCCAGCTGCTGCTTCAGCCACCCAGGAGGAGTGGACAAAGGGCAGTTGGCCCATCTTGGCTACCAGATGGGCCTCCTGTCTCCAGGGCAGGCATGTGAGGGGTCAGCCTGGTGACTCCATGTAGAGCAGGACGGGGGCAGGATTCTCTTTCTATGTGGTTCTAGAAGTCCTGCCACGTGTTCCAGGCAGCAGGCAGTCCCTGGATCAGGATGACTCAGCAGCATCTACATGCAAAGTAGCTGAGGTCTGCGCCCTGGGAAAACCACGTGGCATTCGGCTGGACTTGCCCCATTCACTGTGGCTCCCACTGCTTGGAAAGAGTTTTTCCTCAGCACCTATGTCAGGTCTTCTGTCCTCCTGTGTGACTCTGAGCTCAGGCACCAGCTGCCAGCCAGGGCCTGTCTGCCTCCCTGGCCATCCTCCGTCTGCCTTCCTTCGCTGGCCCCGCTGTGGGCTAACCCCACGTCACATGTGCTCCTTTTACCAATGAAAAGCCAGGTTTGCCTTTGTGCTCACCCCCACCCCATGCGTGGCATGCAGCGGTAGACTCTGCCCTCTGCTTCCTCAGCAAAGGGCTGCTTGCACTGGGGGGGACAGAGGGACAGGGAGCTGGCCAGAGCTAGTGGTCAGGAAGAAATGTGCCTGCACTAGCCGACACGGCTGGACAGAGAAGCCCTCCTTCAGGGAATATCACAACCACGGGGCAATAAGATTTTCCTCTCACACCTTCCTGACTCTGCTCTCTGTAGCGATCTCATGCTGCCCTAGGTGGGGTGGGGGTTGTCACGCAGAGGAAGGGAACCCTGGGGAAATTCAAGTTGGTTGGAAATTCAAGATGGTTCCCACTACATCTGGGAGGCCAGTAGAAGAGGTGGGGCCAGGGATCCTTGACTCAGGCTAGAAAGGTCCTGGGAACCATTTGGTCAGAGGTTCTTGAATAGAGTGTATGTAAGAGTCCCGCAGAAAGTGCATGAAATAGACAACCTCTTTAGGTTCCCTCCCTTCCCCAGGTCCAGGCTACGTCCCAGAAATCTGCATACTTGGAAAGCCTTCCAGGTGGGTCTGATGCAGCTGACCCCAAGCTGTGGCTGCAGGAACACTGAGCAAGACAACACCTCCCCCAGGTTACAGATGGGGGAGAAAGTGGGACGCGGGGGGCTCAAAGGCTTAGTCGGGGCCAAATGGAAGAGGGTCCAGGACTGGAGTCCCACCTTCTTTAGATGCCTGCGCTGCTCTTGTAACCAACAGGTGGAACCTGCCCAGGGAGCCCTGAGGCCTCGGGTCTGTCTCGCCTCTGCTCTAGGGTCTCTTGCCCTGCCCTGTCCTTCCCTCTTACTGCCATCACCATGAGCCGATGTTAAGACACAGAATGACATGTTTACAAAGGCCAAATCCCTTGCCTCCCGCTTATGCTTCCCTCTCACTCCCCACCACCATGTCACTCTCCCTAAAACACAGACTACTCCCTGCTCCACCCCTCCATCTATGGGACAAAGTGGGAAGGGCCTGGCCGGCTGCTCCATGCCTCCCCTTTGACCCAACCTACCTGTTTGACCTCAGAATCCATCACTCCCCCTATAACCTCTTCTCTCAATGATTTCCCTCAAATACTACCTTGTTCTTATTTACCTGCACTCACGTGATGCCATCATCATCTTGGCCAACAGCACGTCTGCCTTGTCCCACTGATTTCTCCCATCCTCCAAGATCCGAGTGAGAGCCACCCCTCCTCCAGGAAACCTTCCTTCACCATGTCGCCCTAGCATTCTTGTCTATCGCTGAACCAGTTATTATATGTTGTTATTATCTATTATATTTAGCTTTGAATTGTGAGCCTTAAGTAATCCCCAGCTGGAGACCACAGCCTACCCTTCTAAGTACCCACCCACTTAGCAACAGTGCTTTGCACATAGGAGTGTGAGAGATGTTAGTAATAATGGAGCCATACAATGCTAGACCCAAGGAGATCTCGGCCTATAGGTAGCTGCTTGATTGATGACTTTCTTATGCCTCCTGGCCTAACAAACATCTAAAGGCTAACTGTTGCAAATCTAAGCCAGGTCTTTCTCTGGATTCTGCTTCCACTGTAGTAATCAACTTCCCTGCTTGTCACCGCCCCTGCTATGCCCAGGAGGCCAGTTCCACCCTCCTGCTCACCATAACGAGCATTCTTGTAAGTCCTTTGTGACTCCGTCCCCAACAGGACATTACTGCAGTCCTCCCCTTATCCACCAGGGACACATTCCAAGACCCCCAATGGCTGCCTGAGACTAGTACACATAATACCGAACTCTATATAAATGATGTTTCTTCCTATACATACATACTTATGATAAAGTTTAATTTATGAATGAGGCACAGTAAGAGATCAACAACAAAAGCAATAAAGAGAATAATTATAGTATACTATTAAAAGTCACATGCGTGTGGTCCCTCCCCTCCCCATAACCAAGACAGCCCCTCAGTGACTGACGGGTGGGTAGCACGTGCAGCACATACGTGCTGGACAAAGGGGTGAGTCATGTCCTAGACAGGGCGGAATGGCACAGGTCGAGATTCCATCACACTGCTCAGAGTGCCACGCAATTTAAAGCCAATGAATTGTTTATTTCTGGAATTTTCCATTTAATATTCTAGACCATGGCCCTGGCTGGTGCAGCTCAGTGCATTCAGTGCCAGCCTGTGAACCAAAGGGTCGCTGGTTCAATTCCCAGTCAGGGTACATGCCTGGGTCGCAGGCCAGGTCCCCAGTTGGGGGCGAGCAAGAGGCAACCACACATTGATCTTTTTTCCTCCCTTCCCCTCTCTCTAAAATATATCCATATTTTATGGGGGAGAATATATATATATATTCTTGACCGTGGTTGACCGTGGGTTACTGACTACTGTATTAATATTTCTGCACTTGCCAGTGGACCCAGGTGCTCTGCCTCTCATTACCCCTCCAGCTGATAACCAAGTTTCTAATTCACAGCAACACACCAGCTAAGCTGATTTTAAGCTGCTTATCTTGCAGTCCTGCCAGAAGTGGCCAATGTCGTACTTGACCCAACCCCACAGCAACAGGTGATGTCCCTCTCTCCCCAGTTAAGGTTAAGTGTCCCTCTCCACTCAGGACTGACCATCTCCACTTCACCTAATGCTTGTTCACAAACAGGGCAAGAAGGAGTTGATTGTAGAGATCTGACAGCTTAAGTCCTGGGGCCTGAGTCAACCTTTCAGAAAAGAGCCCTTTATTCTTTGTTTATTGCAGGGCAAGTGTCCTGTGGAAGAGAAAAGCTCTCTCTTACCCAGGGCTCTGGCAGCGTGCAAGTACCCTGGGCATCTTCACCTGGGAGGTTTGGGAGGAATCCCTGCAGGAGTCTGGAAGCCTTAACAGTATGATTCAAAGTTCAAGTGCACAGAGCAGGCTCATCTGCTCAGAGAAAGTACAGCATGCAACCTGTGTGGAGCGATTCTTCAGAGAGGCCTTGCTGCCCTTTCAACAACGTCAGAGCTGCTCTCCTCAACCCCCCCCACCCCCACCCTACACACACAGAATCTCCACCAATCATGCTACATGGCCATCTTCTCATAAAAATATTTAAGATCTCTACTTACCAAAGTAGGTCCAGTCGGGTCCTGCAAAGAACAAAACAAAGCAAGTAAGTGCAACTGAGTTTGAAGAAGGGAGGGGGAAATACCGATCGTATTGTGGAATGGGTGAGACTGAACAGGTGGTGGATGCCCAGAACTTAAAATTGCTCCAGGGTCTGGGGCAGAGCAGCTGCTCCTTGGAGCCACTGTGCTTCCAAGGAAGAACCAGGCAGTGAGTTCGTGCAGGGTTCATGGGTTAGGGAGGAGCCCTCTGGAGCAGAAGCCTCCGCAGACATCTTAAAGAAGCCAAGTTTTATTAGCTAGATAGGTAATAAATTCGCAAGGCTCAAAACTCCAAAGCAACTGAAGGGTAAACAGCAAAAGCCCTTCCTCCAGCGGGATCTCGCTGCTTCCCCGAGACAGCCAGTTTCAACAGCTGGTAGGCCCTTCATAGTCTGGCTGCACGTGCTTATGCAGTTGTATTCTGCCCCCCCTTTTTTCCACACAAACTGTCAATATGTCAGAAACACTGTTTTGCATCTTGTTTTCCCCCCACGTAACGGCATATCCTGGCCCTGGCTGGTGTGGCTCAGTGGACTGAGCACTTGGCCTGAGAACCAAAAAGTCGCCAGTTCGATTCCCAGTCAGGGCACTTGCCCGGGCTGCGGGCCATCTCTCACACATGGGTGTTTCTCTCCCTGTCTTTCTCCCTCCCTTCCCCTCACTCTAAAAATAAATAAGATCTTTAAAAGCAACAAGGACATATGCTGGAGAACACTTCATGTCAGTATATAAAGAACACTAATCTCAAAAGGAACGTTTTCCTTTGGGGAAGCCACTACCCTCATCCCAGTTAGAATCCAGGGGCCACAGAAATGCACAGATGACAAAAGTCACCCACCGCTTCCTGCTCCATACCCTGCGCACAGAAAAGTCCTTCGTTCCTACATCGAAACACAGTTTTGTAAAAAGTTCTTGCAGAGCTGATCTCCCATTACCCTGACTAACACCTCCCTCTTCACCCCCAGAAGGAGACCAAGACCCCGAATTGAGCCTCAGGGTGTCTCGGGAGACACACCAAATGAGGGGACTGTTCAGCTCCTAAGTCCCTGTCTCTTAGCTTCCCCCTGATGTCCCCATGTTCTTGACCCACAGGGGACAGTGGGAAGAGGAAGGCTCTCACATCCCCTTTCTCTCTTGGGAAGTGATTTACAGCAAAACTTAACTGGTCACTTATCACAACTGGGCATTTCCTACTTAAGCCAATGGTCATTTTTAAAAGCTAAAAGAGGACTTTGCTTTTTCCTTTTTTAAAGCTGGTTTAATTGCACATTTCTGTTCTTGTTCTATTTCTTTTCTTTGCTTCAGTGCTTTAATTATTTAATTCTCCGCATTAATTGGTGATTTTGTTAAAAATACACATGTGCACGGTTTAAGGAGTCAGGTGGTCTGCAAGGCTTTTTATTTTTAAAGAGCATTTGGTCCCCGACACCCTGGTCCTTTTCCTGCTCCCAGGGCTGCCCACTTTGAGTCCACTTTAATTAATTCTTTTGGTATTATCTCCACTTCGCTATAAAGCATGCATCCCTGTTGCTCCTTCACAATTCGTTCAGGTTAGACATTTCTTGACATCCCACCCCTAAGTTCCCAGTTGAACTTGAGGAATCTTTGAGTCTCCTCCTCAGTGTTCGTGAGGTGGGGGAGTTCAGACCATCCAAAGGGTCTGATGTGTATCAGGGATCTTTTCTTCATAAAAATGCCCATAAGCTTAGACACACAAGAGTTCATGTACAGGTAATTTCAAGAGGCCTACAGAACCCCTGAAACCTGCCAGGGACCCCACAGGAGTGAAGCGTCCAAGATGAACCTCCCTTGATTTAGCAATTGGACAAAAACACTCTGAACCGTGGGTGAACCCCACTTGTATGAGACCCCCGGGTTTACACTGGCCCCTTCAGTGAAACAATAGTGAAAAGGGACAAAGAAAGCTGTGCTTTCGACCTAAGCTCCAGAAGACACCAAACCTCTTCCCTGACCGTTTTCCTTCAGCGTTTTGCTATTAAAATACAATCGTGGATTTCAGACAGAGAAGCCGGACTGTTTCCACTTAACCAGGCAGGGCACTTGGAGGCTCGGGATGTGAGGTTGAGGTTTTACGAGTGCTGGGAGCTCACCCTCACAGCTCCCCTGGAGAGACACAGACCCCTCTGGGGGTCCTGGAGGCCCCCAGAAAAACAGCTGTGGCCTCTGATCTGCTTTGGCTAGGAGTTTTTTAAGTTGCACTTTCCCCCAAATCAAACCATACCCCCAATATCCTGCATCTTCTGCTCTGCTCCCCTAAGCTTGCGAGGCTGAGGTTTTTCCTGCTTTTGTAGTGTTCATCCTCAGAGTAGGCACAGGCACAACACTTTGGGAAGCTCAGGGACCAAGGTCATAGAGCAGACACACAGGGCTCTATGGCCTCAGGTGGTGACATAGGGCCAGAGACTTGTTCTTGAAAAGCAGCAACATCCAGAGCAAACTTTCCTGCCCTCCTCTCTCTGAGCAAGCCCAACTGGTCCTCAAGACTTGGTTCTTTTGGTTATAAATGGCAGCCTCTGGGGGGGCTCAGGAGTGGGAGGCGGGGGGGGAAGGAAGCACCGTAAGACATAAATCGTAAAACTCAAGGGACAGCGATCTGATTCGGGGGCTCATCAGTGAGGGTCAGGCCCCAGCCTGTTCATCGGCACCTCAGAACTGACCTCAGGCAGACTGTATAAAGGTGCTGTGTGTGCTTGTTTTATTTGGAAATGGTACCTCCTGATTCCCTCGCCTTTAGCTTTGGGGCAGGATTCTTAACAGGACCAAATGACCCTGCGAGAGGGATCAGCCAAGGCTGCTGCAGCTGCACCTTGGTGGCTTGCCGAGGGAGCAGGCCCGAGGGGAATTGTTTCCGTCTCGAGAAGATCAGAGGCCTGGAGGGGCCAAGCAGGAAGCCTGTTAGAACCTGCCAGCCCATTGTGTGCTGGGCAAAGAGAAAGCCCTGGGTGCCCATGGAGGAAACGGTATTTATCGAAATCCAAGTCAGAGGTTCAGGGCCCTGTCTGCTTCCTGTCCCAGGTGCCAGAAGCTTCCCTGAGTTCTTGAAAATGCCCAGATTGCCACACCAGGTCTGGACACAGCAGGCTCAGCAGAATTCATTGAAAGGTTCCCCCACAGCAACTAAGAAACCTAAGGTTTTCTCCAGAAGACACCTGACTTCACCGTATTTTGCTCCCTCCCTCCACACCACCAGTGTTTCTCAGACATCCATCGGTGCCAGCTGTGGGAAACCTAAGCGCTCCAGGCCGAGGGCCGACCAGCTTGGACCGCATTGCCCAGCTTCACCTGCTCCAATCCCAACCTTCAGTTAATACAGACACTCCACACCTCAGTGATAGTTTGACCTTGTCCGCAAGGCAGATAAAAAAGCCAAGAATCTCATGCAGAATAGCAAAATAAAAACTGCTCTTAGAAACTAGAGGTAGGCAGGCGGCTCCTCAGTGTGGGGCAAAGGTGGAGCTTTTACTGCAAGCTTCCCCCCGCCCTACTGAGAGAATGGGGAGGGGGGCAAAGGAGAGAGGGGGGGAGAGGAGGAAGGACAAGCAGGGCAGGGGAGGATGGGGAGGGAAATGGGGCAGGGAAAGAACAGGCCAGGAGGAGGAGCTGTCCCCAGAGTGAGGGCAGTAACAGGCTTTCGGAAAACAGAGCCGATGAATGGCTGCTTCTTCCTCCTGTCTTAGAACAGCCTGAGGCAAAAAGGGAGACTTCTACTGAAACTCCAGGTCTCTGGGCAGCTCTCTCTAGAGGGGAACACATGTCAAGTTCTGCAGTTTTAAAAATTAATCCCTGCTTAAATGTAACTCCTCTCTCCCGCCTACCTTCTATTTCTCTGTGAAGGAGATGCTATCAAGCATATGATGCCAGCCAGCGGATTGGAACTGAATTCAGAGTAACACCACAGCTGCTGACAGCCCCGCGCCCCACTCTCCTCTGCCCTGCCCCGCACGCACAGTGGCCTCCAAGAAGAAAAGGAGCTCCAGGCTTTCCTGCTGCAGAAGCGGACAGATACCTCACAACCACTGCCCAGTCAGGGAGCAGGTTTTCAGTCATCATGGTCACTTCGGGCTCTTCTATAAATATTTCAGCCTAACCCGGGACCAGGAATCAGAGCACCCACAAATGTCTCCACAACTGAAGGCCACCTGTCCAGGACAGGAGCCACAGTCAGGTTCCCAGGAAGTTTCCACGGAAGTCCCCATTTACTCTCTCAGAACAGCATTCACTCCGCTGTGAAGGAGGCAGGCATCCTCCGCCGGTTACAAAGGACCGACCAACCTGACCCTGGCTGCTCCACAAAGCCCACTGCACAGACCTGAGTTGACAGTCGGGTCCACTCACCCCTCCTGCCACCTCCCCCCTGCACCCTCGGCCTCCGGCCCTTGGGGGTTAAGGGCCCTAATTACACTCAGAAATAAGGTGTGTATGCTCATGCCAGGGCACACACACAAGTACGTCTGGGATAGTAGAGCTCTTCCAGAGAAAAACAATGATTAAGGAAGCTATGCATCATCCCTTTGACTTGCAGGTAAAAGTCAATGGTAAAGAGTGTCTCCTCCAAAGCCGAGCACTCACCGCAGCTCCAGGGGGTTCTGTGCGGGAACGACTGCAAGCCTTTCCTGGTAGTGACACTACTCGGGATGCTCCAGTCACTGCACTACCGCACGCGAAGTGGAGCACAGTGTCAATATTTTCAATCCTGGGTCCCCCCTCCAGTGAGCAAGTCCCCAAGCACCCCTCCTGAGCCGCAGGTGCTCAGAGAATTCGCAAGCACATTTCCATGTGAAGACAATGCGTTTCCCCCAGCCACCGGGGCTCGCGCATTCCGAAGGAATATGCAGCATCCCTTCTAAGAACGTGCAATTTGATACTAAGCACGTCCTTCCCTGCTTCCCCCAAATGATTTTATTCTATCATTAAAGTTCCCCGCAGGAAATCCTTCCGTGCAGGTGTGACTGAGCGCGCCAGGACTGTTAGGGAAGAGGCAGAAACTTTACCGTTGAGAGGGGCTGGGCTGGAAGTCTGTTCCTTTAAGATCACGAGCAGGAGGATGGCCACAGCATGTAGGCTGTGGTGGGGCATCTTCGCGGGTGACTCCTGCGGGGTTGGAGTGGGCTGCCTTGGGCTCAGGGTGGCTCGCTCTGGATCTGGTCACTGAGCTGCGGCCAGCGGGGCGCGCGCCGGGTCGGGACCGCGTGCGCGCAGCGCAGGCGCCGTGACCAGCACTTCAGTTCTTTGCGCTCCCGGCTCCTGGAGGCTTGCTTTTATGCAGCGACTCAGCTCCGTGATGTCATCGCGCTGAAGGGAAGGACGCTCTGCCTACAGGAGGTCTGGCGCCCCAGTTCCCAGGTGAGGTGTCATCCTGACTTCAGTCATGCTTTGTGGGGCGATGGCCCGGGTGCTCCAATGGAACGTGGCTGCTGCCTTGGGAACCCAGTTTTCCGCGAAAGCAATGGGTAGGCGTGGGTGAGATCGGGCCCCATCGGAAAGGGAAGAGCACGTCTAGGTCCTTGCTCCCGTGGCCTTGGCCTCTCACTGCCCTTAATGAGAAGCCCCCTGAATACAGTGCCATATGGACAAGACCCTCCTTCGGAACGCCTGCCTGGACTGGGCACACGTTAGGGATTAGATGAGACCACAGAGGGGCTGCATTCAAACCCAGAATTTCTGTGGATTGTCCAGTGTATCCTCATAAGGTCTTGTCTTTGAAATTTAGATGTGAAGAAATGAATTAAGACGAGGTAAATAGCACAGTGAGATACAAGTGAACAGCTTTACTAAGCAATTAGATTTTCCCCTAGTACCAGGTAAGTAGACCAGGTTCATGCTGGTTCGTAACGTCCATTCATTCTCTAGGAAGAGGGGGGCGGGTCACTTCTCTGGGTAGCCGGAAAGGGATTTACGTCATTGGCTGAGCACCTGGTATGTGCCAAGCACCACACTAGATCTAAATCAGTGGCTGGGTTCTGTTTCCAGTGCATATTATCACCTGTTGCTCCCTTCAACCCACTTTTCTCACATATTTGTACTCATCTAAATGTGTATACATACACATACAGCCACATATGCATGTGGTTCTGACCCCCTTTCCATGTAACCTATGTTCGGTTGTTAAGTCAACATTCTCATTAATCTGCTCTCTCCGGTACTCCCCACATCCTCCTGCCACTGTTCCTGTGACTTGCTGTTCTCCCCACCCTTGTCATTGGCGTTTGACTTCCCCCGGCCTTCTGAGTGTCTCTGCACTGCTCCTGGTGCTGGGCTGTTTCCTCCCTGCTCTGCTCTCTTGGCTCCCTGCTGCTCACCGACATTGTTCAGGCCACACGGTCTGCTGACAAGTGTCCACCCCAATCGCCCACCCCGGTCACTGGTACATGATCCCTGGTTCTGAGGCCTGGTCCATGTTGCCCTCATCTCTTGGCCACGCAGCCTGGCCAGCCCTCACCCCTCTCAGGTCTGTCCTGGCCCTCGGCCCACATGGACTCTCAGGCCCGCCTCAGTGACCAGTGAAGCCTTTCGTCATCGGTGGTGGTCTTGGAGGGATAGAGCAACTTCTGTGCTGGGGGTTACGAGGGAGCATATGCCACCTGTATTTCAAGGGTTGCAACTGTCCTGTCCCTCTCAGTCCAGCCATTGTTTGGGTTAATAAAGGGCTACAAAGTCTCGTTAAGGAAGTAGTTACAAAGAAATCTTGTTACAAGTGTTTCCAGACCACAGTAGGCTTAAGGATGACCTTTTCTGCCTGCAACTCCCAGCAAAGAGCCTTGTGTGAGCTCCGGAGAGGCGAGTGAGCGTTTCCCTGTGGTTCTTAAGACACTCATGTCTCTGATCTGTCATCAAGGGCTTTAGAAGATGAATGTGTTAGAGGAACACCACAGATTGGCAGGAGCCCCTGCAGTTCAGAGACACGCATGCTGACCCTGGAGGTGAAATCACTCGTCCCACGTCTCAGGACGAGTCAGAGGTAAACCCGGCCGGGCACGTGCATTCTGTTTCTCCCACCCCAGATGTTTTCCCTTTATGGCTAAAAATTAAGTTCAGTTTCTCTTCAAACACGCATCTCTAAGTGTTCTCCAGGGATCCTCAGAGATGGAGAGGTTTTTAAAAAGTGGGTTGGATTTCATGGAACAATCAGGAAAACTGTGAACTGGGTTTGATGGAAAGAAAGGAGAGGATTGGAATGTTCAGCGCATGTCTAGGTCAGAGATCTGGTTAATGAGGAAGAATGGGCAGCAATTAAAAGAGAATTGAGACTATAAACTGAGACCCACTGCTCCGAGTGCTTTGGATGGTTATTTAAAACAAAAATCTTAGGGGGGCAAAGGGCAAAAGCAAACAGAAATGTATGAAATGACCAAACTTCTAAAGTGTTGATGCCAAATGCAGAGGGCACCACCTTACCCCAATAAACAGCACAAAGCTAACCAGCTTAAGTCTCCAACTCTGGGGACTTTACCTGCCAGTGGCTTCACCTGGGGCCTGAGTGGCTGAACATGCAGCAACTTGCTCTGCCGCCATCAGACAGGGCCGTCCGTGTCAGCCCATAAACAGCCAGAACTCAGTGGGTGAGGATGGAAAATAGACCTTCACACCCACAATGGGGCAGATGGCCACCAGGTGACACACCTGCACAGAAGGCTCCAGGGAACAGAGCTCCTCATCTAAAAGGTCACCCTCTGATCAGAAGAGTTCAGATTATTAAAATATCCATACTACCCAAAGCGGCCTAGAGATTCAGTGCACTCCCTATTAAAATTCGAATGGCATTTTTCACAGAAACAGAACAAACAACCCTAAAACTTGTGTGGGACCACAAAGACCCTGAGTAGCCAAAGCAATCTTGAGAATGAAAAACAAAGTGAGGGCATCATGCTCCTTGATTTCAAACCATATTACAAAGGTATCACAAACCAAACAGGATTGTACTAGATTCAAAACAGGCACAGAGCTCAATGGAGCAGAATAGAAATCACAGAAATAAATGACACGTATGTAGTTAACTAATTTATGACAAAGTGGGCAGAAATATACAATGAAACTAGACTACTATCTTACACCACACACAAACATTGATTCAAAATGGGTTAAAGACTTCAATGTAACACCCGAAACCATAAAAATCCTAGAAGAAAACATAGGTAATAAGCTCCTTGACATTAGTCTTGGTGATGGGTTTTTTCTTTTTTTAGATCTGACTCCAATAACAAAGGTAAGCAAAACAAAAATAAACAAATCAGATTACATAAAACTAAAAAGCTTCTGCATAGCCAAGGAACCATGAACAAAATGAAAAGGCAACCCACGGAATAGAAAAAGTGTTTGCAAACCATATATCTGATCAGGTGTTAATATCCAAAATATATAAAGAACTCATACAACTCAGTAGTGAAAAAACAAACAATCCATTTTAAAAATGGGCAGAGAACCAAATAGACATTTCTCCAAAGAGGACACGCAGGTGACCCTCAGGCACGTGGGAAGGCGCTCGACATCACCGATCATCAGGGAAATGCAAATCACAACCGCAGCGAGCTGTTGCCTCACCCCCATTGGAATGGCCCTCATCACAAAGGGACGAAAGAACAAGCGTTGGCCAGGGTGCCCTACGTGGAGAAAAGGGAATCCTCTTGCACTGTTGGTGGGAGTACAAAGCAGTCGCCCCCACTATGAGCAGTAGCCATACTACTATGAGAAACAGTGTGGAGGCTCCTTAAAAAGTTAAAAATGGACTGACGGCATGATCCAGCAATTCCACTAGTGGGTATTTATGCAAAGGAAATGAAAACACTCATTTGAAAAGACATATACACCCCTATAGTTATTGCAGCATTATTTGTAATAGCCAAGGTATGGAAATAGAAGTGCCCATCAATAGGTGAGTGAGTAAAGAAGATGTGAGATATACATATATACACACACACACACATACATATATACAACAGTATACATATACTATATATATTATATATATACTATATATACACACACACATACATATATACAACAGTATACATATACTATATATATTATATATACTATATACACACACATACATACATATATACAACAGTATACATATACTATATATTATATATATACTATATACACACACATACATACATATATACAACAGTATACATATACTATATATTATATATATACTATATACACACACATACATATATACAACAGTATACATATACTATATATATTATATATACTATATACACACACATACATATATACAACAGTATACATATACTATATATTATATATATACTATACACACACATACATACATATATACAACAGTATACATATACTATATATTATATATACTATATATATACACACACACCTACGCACACGTACATACATACATATATACAACAGTATACATATACTATATATTATATATATACTATACACACACATACATACATATATACAACAGTATACATATACTATATATTATATATACTATATATACATACACATACATACATATATACAACAGTATACATATACTATATATTTATATATACTATATATATACACACACATACATACATATATACAACAGTATACATATACTATATATTATATATACTATATACACACACATACATACACACATACATATATACAACAGTATACATATACTATATATTATATATATACTATATACACACACATACATATATACAACAGTATACATATACTATATATTATATATACTATATATACACACATACATACATATATACAACAGCATACATATACTATGTATTTATATATACTATATACACACACATACATACATATATACAACAGTATACATATACTATATATTATATATACTATATATATACACACACACCTACGCACACATACATACATATATACAACAGTATACATATACTATATATTATATATATATACTATATATATACACACATACATACATATATACAACAGTATACATATACTATATATTATATATACTATATATATACACACACACCTACGCACACATACATACATACATATATACAACAGTATACATATACTATATATTATATATATATACTATATATACACACACATACATACATATATACAACAGTATACATATACTATATATTATATATACTATATATATACACACACACCTACGCACACATACATACATACATATATACAACAGTATACATATACTATATATATTGTATATATACTATATATATATACA